TATGGATTGCGATAACAGTTGTATGAGCCCCTAATAAAATGTTAAAAAAGAAAAAAAAATGTGCTGAAAAACTTGGCTTATACACAATTTATTTATATATATCAAGTAACACGAGTTTCCGAGAACGGGGAGAAATTGGAGCCCTCACACACTGCCAACCTGTGCTTAGTAGCAGGCCAGTGTCATTCAGCGGTGCTGCCTGAGCTCCTGGCAGTGCTGGTTAGAATGTAGAACAATGCAGCTGCTCTTGAACGACAGTGTAGCAGTACCTTGATCAATTAAGCCTAGCATCCAGTCTGACCAAACAGTTCTACTCGTAGATACATACTGTACTCCCCAAATAACGAACATCAGTGTACAAACGAAAACATGTTCATTGTTCACAGTAGCCAAAAGATGGAAACCGAATGTCCGTCAGTTGATTAAGAGATAAGACGTTATCCAGCCATCCATACAATGGATCGCTAGTCAGCTGTAATAAGAATAAAGTATTGATACATGCTCTCTATGGATGAACTGTGAAGACGTTAGGATAAGTAAAAGAAACCAGACTCAACAGTTCACAGATTCTCTGATTCCATCTATATCCAATTCCACTTATCTCAACAGCAGTGGCTCACTGCCGTTGAATCATTTCAACTCATGATAATGATAAAGAACAAAGAGCCCTGGTGGCCTACTGCATACACCGTTGGGTCCCCAAAGTGGGCGGTTCAAAACCACCAACTGCTCTGTGGGAGAAAAATGGGGCTTTCTGTTTCTGTAAACAGTTACAGTCTCAGAAACTCAAAGAGGACGTTCTACCGTGGCCTGTAAGGCCGCTGTGAGTCGGCATCAACTCTATGGCAGTGAGAACTGCCCCTTTGGGTTTCAAGTCTGTCGATCCTGATGGAAGCAGATGGCCACATGCAGAGTGCCTGGTGGGTTTCAACCTAGGGCCTTTTGCTTAGCGGCCTACAGAGTTCTTTAGCAAGCGTCTAGAGCATGTAGACAGAAGAAAGTAGGTTAGTGGTTGCCAGGGGCTGGGAAGAGGAGGAAATGAGTGAATGAATGCTTAATGGGAACGGGGTTTCCTCTTGGGGAAATGAAAAGTGCCGAGTCTAGATGGTGGTGGTAGCTGCACAACACTGTGAATCGACTCAATGCCCCTGAATTGTGTGCTCTAAAGTGGTGAATTCGACATTGTATGGATTTTACTGCAATAAAGGTAAATAATCTATTAGACGTTTTCTGCTTATAATGACATTTCCTTCCCGAAACAAGCAAACAAACCAAAAGCCAGAACGGTTTTCTTTGAAAGACCTTAGGGCCACGTATGTTCCACGGATGCTGGGATGAAAGCATCTGCTCATAGCTGTTCGTTTTACTCATGGAGGGCTAGTGCCCACAGGCCAGGCTATTAGAAGCGAACTACAATGAACAAGCGAGTGTCCTCCAGAGTCATTACCTAGTTGCTCCAGTGTAGTGATGCGGTTAAGAGCACGGGGTCTGGCAGCTGACTGCCTGGGTTCACATTCTGCCACTCTGCCACTGACAGTAAACAAACGAGCCCATGGAACGTGCTTACAAGAGAGCCTGAGACGTGCCAGGTGGTGATTTGTGACTTTATGAAATGACTGTGGCTGGCCATTAAAATCACATGGACATTTCGTTTAATTTGGCCTTTCTCAGTCAGGGTAATGTCTTTCAGAAGTCTCCTTTTAGAAGAGGAAATGGTTCTTCCTGGCTAGCTTCATATCTGAGATAAGAACACGGGGTTCCCAGCAGACAGAGAGGTGTGCGTCCCAGTCAAGAATCGATACAGCGTTTCTGGAAACTCAGCTCCTGCAGCTCCGAGGCAAACACCGCCAGCTCACAGCGTGAACAGACGGCGCGAGCCTATCATTCAAAACACCTTCACATTGCCTCTCACCACACTCCAGCCATTGCCCAGTGGGAATAACTGTGTTTTCCATTGGACAAAAGAACTGAAGTTTTAAAATAATTAGCAGCCATTTGATTAGTGGTTAAAACGAATTCCTTTTCCTTTTTCTAAATGAACCAAATACCAAGAAACTGAAACCTCCTCTTCATCCTTATCACCCTCAGTCCATTGGTCACAAAGCCCTGCCACATTAACCTCTGACCCTCCTCTTTCCTGTGCTGCACGTCCCTGTGACCAGGCCCCTAGTTCGAGCCTCA